AGCCAAAATAAACCCAGAGTACGTGAGCTTGTAAGCTCACAAAGGTGATTTTGGCTTTGTGCAAACCTCACAGGCTTCGTTTGGCTCAAAGTATACTAAGACCTTAATGAATGTGCTTTTTAAAATAATTATTTAAACAGGCATTGATGGTGTTTCTATGTTATTTAGTGGGTAGGTATTCTGAAAGTATTCTCCTAAAAGGTTTAAACATTAAACATCCTAAGTCGGTTTTATCGGAAGTACAATTGCTGAGGGTTCTAATGCACCCCCAGATTTCAGGATTGTGGAACTGCAAGTACTAAAATAACAAAAGAACAGAATTTTAAAATGTTTTGAACACAGCAAAAACCTATATGTGCTTGCAGTAATGTAGAGTTTTATTCATGTAACAGATGAGAGAAAATTTTATCAGTGATTCAAAAAGTCTGAATTAAACTGATCAAAGATGACACTGCATGTTGTCACCGTCCAAAGAAAAACAAATATCTCCAAAATAGTAACTTTACAGGAGAGGGTAAAAAATGTAAGTTAATGGAAAGGGATTTTATTTTAAGCAGTTTTGGAGTGTTTCTATTGGTCCAGTCATCATGAAATTTTCACACAATGTAAAGGACAGCTGCCATATTCAAATGATGCAGAAAAGTAAAAAAAGAATGGAGATACAGGTTTTTTTTTGGACAGCAATAATGTGCATGCTTAAGAAATAATTTTATGGAAACCTTGATAAGCCTAAGAAGCATATCTAGCAAAATGCAATTTATATATTTATATATTTTCAGAAAAGTACAATAGCTCTACACTAAAGCACGTTACGATACATTCTCTTTTATGTAAACCAAACAGTTCAAATGGTAAAAACACATATCAATTAGCATGACGTCACACTGAATGTCCAGATATATGTTGCTTAAAATTTTAGCACCCCACTTTGCCGCAATCTTGATAATAATAATAATAATGATAATAATAATAATAATAAGAAGAAGAAGAAGAAGAAGAAGATGAAAAAGAAGAACAAAGACAAGAAGAATGTGTATACAAATGCTTTGCATAGCATCAGAACAAGGCCAACAATGAAACAAGAATCTCACAAAGAAAACAAAAAACAAATGGGAGAATAGAGGACAAAACAAAGCACAACAAAGATAACAAAAACAAAAATGAACAGGATACAAAAGGAGATACTGAGGAAAAGGCAGTAAAGTTTTAAAAGAAGAGATGGATGAACAGGCACGTTTGTGTGGGTAAAGAGTTAACTTTGTCAAAATTTGACGAAACATTTAAAATTGCTTTGTTAGCTGGCTACCCACCTTAAATTAGACCTAGTACTTCTATATTCTATAAGTTCTGAAATTATTTGTTATTCACAATTATAATTTATTTCTTCATCATTTTCCTTTAAAACAATGTGCTATTAAGGAATGTTGAAATGTCAACATATGCATTATGCATATTACACAAGATGCTAGTGGGCGCAGGTCTAAATCCACATCAAACACTGAGACAACAGGTCTAGAGCTCTAGCTGGCTCTCTGGGCTCTGAATGGGTGTGCCATAGCAGGGGAACCTGTGAGCTGAGGAGAGAGTTGACTTTATGTAAAGAAAAAAAAAATACAGGTCCATTTACTGTGGCATCCAAGCAGTCCGCCACAAAGAAGTACAATAATAGACTGGGATGGTCTGAAAGGATTTGTTTGAACAAAAGCTTTCTCGGTACAGTTCAACAGGGAGCCTTGAGTGTGGTTGATTGTAAGTGATATTTTCTGCATTTTGCCTCTCCTTATGTCTGTGTGAGTGGGAGTAATGAGCTGTTTGATAGCTTCACCACGTCGTTAAAACATGGACAACATCTGTATGCATCTCATTCAAGCCACTTTAAAGAGAGACATAAGAGGAAGGCAAAGCCGCACATTGTGCAGTGGAATAACGTCCGGGAATATCAAAACCTTGCAAGAAAAGGAGACAGATCTTGGTGTGCACCCCAAGGCTTTGGAGACTCTGGGAAATCTTGGTTTGATCCCTTTACAGTAAGTGATGAAGACTGTGGCTGGGTCCCAGGCGAAGTTAAGAGACGCTGGAGCCTTGCAGGGTGACGGAACAGCAGCTCCACACTCTGTCATCATTAATCACTAGCTCTTGTCAGTTGTCCACCCAGTGCCGGCCTCAGACACCACCAGCACTTCCCATTTTACCCTCGCTGTTGGGGGAAGGGCAAATGGCACACGAGTCTATGTGTATTCTGTGTGTTTACGCATCCCCATGTTGTGTAAGTCTGGGTATTGGTGTCCATTTCCGAGCATGTAAACATATGTCTACTGCTGCCTAAAGGACCTATTGGACTGTAATACAGCTCCTTTCTTGCTCCGCACACAGTAGTCCATTTTGTCTGTCTTCGTTGGGTCGGCGGTGATGTATCTCTCCTCGGCATGAGCAGCAGGGATGACAGAAATAGAGTGTGGGTGTTGATTCCTGCCATGACTGGGAGCTGGGGGAAGAGAGAGAGAGACGGACAGAGTGATTGATGAGAAGCGAAGGAGGAAGAAAGGGAAGATGGATCGGATGACAGTGTGATGGACGAGTTACAGCAAAATGGAAAATGGCACCACTATTCATCTGTCCCTTGAGAGCGGACCTCTGCTCTTGAAATTTCATCTACTGCACCTTTTATTGATTTAAGGGCAGACAGTCGTCACTGGTAATGTCATTTTAGTAGAAATTTGCTCTGTTAGCTTGGTATTACTTAACTGACAGCCTGTGTTTGAAGTAGTGATACAAACCTGAAGCACATTTAAATGTGGTTAGGGTGAAGAAATAAGAAGTTAATGGTGAAAATGCTAGTAATACATGCTACAATGACTGTGGCTCGACCTTCTTTTGTCCGAGTCACCGTGGGGTGTCGGTCAGCACCCTTGACAAGCTGATTACTCAGAGAAGCGACCCACGTGTTCGTGCTGCATCCTGCCTCACCCGGCGACCAGAGCCTTTGGAAACTTGACCCGTCCACTCAAGTCCAGCCAAGTGGATCTGTTCCCTCACTCAGCATCACAAAGCGTGATTCGCACAATGTCTGGGAAAAGTGAGCCGGGGCCAACCTCTCCGATTACCTGTCCAGAACCGATGGAGACACAATGGCTTTCCGCTCTGATGCGGGATCAGTGTTTGAAGCTTTGTGGTTGATTACATTAAGGAAGGGGCACCTTCAAGAGTGGTCCTAGATCAGTTTGGATAATAATGTAACGAGAGTCTGAGCCCCAGGGGTAGTGCACTGTAACCTTGCGAGCTAACTGTCAGTGTGTGTGAGTGATGGTACACAGATACTGAGCTGTCAGTCCCTGTTGTGTTACTCCGCGAGGCTGTAGGATATTATTGTTGCCAATCAAACTGGCAAGTTGAGCCATGCCAGCGGTATGCCGAAGTCTATAAATGCTGTTCCAGAGTCAGCTAGACAATTTCAAAGCTCTCCTTGCTCCATCATGTGATGAGCACTGGCATTGACCTCAGGCCCGACACCAAGACCTGTTGCCAATCAAGCTGACAAGATACACTGCTCTGGTTTCTGTCCGCCCTTGATGACTGGTTTTGCATTCCAAATCAAATTCCTCCACCATTATGGGCCACATAGCAGGCCTGACCCATACCGGCAGCTAAAGGCAAAAGTGTCAAAAGCTGGAGTGTCAGTGGACAATAAAGAAGCCAGAAGACATTAACATGCCCAGGCATAAACAGTTGTAGTTTCCCTCTGGAACCTGAAAGGCCAGGCGGCTTCTTTTGTGGATCTTTGGTGGCTTATGCCATAGAATTACTTTGTTAATTATAAAAGTGTGATTCATAAGTGTGAAAAGACTCGGTGTAATTAAATTTAATTGAACTGTCCGTGGCGCAGCACTCCTTGAGAATTAATTACTGCACGCACGAGAGGATATGCACAGAAAAAACACACGTAAGAATGGAAACAGTAATAGCACGCCGAAAACGATAACCTTCAAGGCAAATGTTTGCACAACTACAACCCAGTTCCTGATGTATCAATTGACATCTGCTGTCACTCTGTGGATAAGGGACACAAAGAGAAATGCTTGGAAGTAGGGAGGAAGACGGGAGAGGAGGGAAGGGGTCCCCTGGGTCATCATTACAAGCACACACGCAGGTTTCACAACAGCAGCACGCCTCAGGATATGCTGAGGCGGCACTCCCAGCATGAAGGAAAAGCACAAATCCATAGTGGCATTGAAGACTGCATCGCCTGCACTAAGGCACCGGGCTGCTGCTGGCAGTGTTCCTGCTTCATAGCTTTGCTGCTGAATGCTGAAGTGACGGGTGGAGCATGTTGCTACATATATGAGTGAAATGGTAAGTAAACAACATGGTGACAGGCACATAACTTCGTTAACATAATAGGGGCTCAACAGTGAGCAGCTGGACGGCTAGCTTGGCGAAGCGGTCTACTGCCACACTTGTTTTTAAAGAGTCACTGAGCATGAGATACAATCAAATTTGTAAAGCGCTTGTTTGTTTTCATAGTGTGTAATCATTGCTGTAAATCACGGTGTATACAAAACAAATAAATGACCTATTTTGCCCTTCTCCCTAGTTCTCAGCTCTTGTCCTAGTCAAGTACTAACTGCACCACTCACTCTGTGTGTCAAGACACAAGACAGGGCTAGACAACTCAGGGCAAAGGAAAAGACTCTTTGGCCTTGTGGATCGATACTACACTTCCTGACACAATCTCCAGAGACCTGCAATATAAAGATAGGCCTGGACCAATCTAAAGCGATGCTGATAAGAATTCCCTATGGCTTTGAGTAATGCTGAGGATTAAAAACTATGTTTTTCCCAATAGTACTGCCCTACCCAGTGGACTCATACTTGTTTGTGTAAATAAACAATGGTGAAGGGCTGAATAGAAAACACATATCCTGAAAATGACATTGTGAGAACGAGATAAAGACTGCAAAAGCATAAAGTTTAAATATAACCATTTCATTTATTTAACAAAATTATAACTCCAAAGTTGGACAGCACTGCCATCGCTATTTTTCTTTCTTTCTTTTTTTTTTTTAATTGAACCGGCACCATAACCAGCCTTGTAATCTTGACACATTACAAAAAAATATTACAGCTCTTTATACCATTTATTTGTAAGCTGTTCAAATTAAAAAAGGAGTATTTAGAAAGCCCAGAGGGACTCGGACATGCACATTCATACCGCACAGACAAAAGAAACAGAGGCAACACAGAAGAGGACATTTGCCTCACAAAAAGAACAGAAATTTCCGAGACTTGAGGTTTTCATCATACTGTGTACAAATAATTGGCGGAGAACGTAAGAGAAATTAATAGTGAAATTAATTGATGTACTCTGATTTTGTAAAAGTAAACAATAACAACATTGTGTCTTGGATTATAAACTGGAAAGCCAAGCGCTTGTTAAAAAATAAATACAATTCTGTTTGAAAACTGTGTCAGCGCTTCAGTCTCATACACTGTTTCAAGCTTGCATGCACCCTGCACACCCATAATCTCGGCCATAAGGGGCTCTTTAGATTTCTTTTTTGTCCCATTCACTTGTCCCTGCACAGCACTGGAAGCTGGAACCCAGGGGCAATAACCAGTGTCCAGTATCAGCTGGATATGTTAGCAGTCATCATGCAAGCACTTTGCTTGTTCGGGTTCTTTAGAAATCTGAAGTGTGGAGAATCTGTGTGTTGCCTCATTGGTAGCCGAGAGCTGAGGCAGATCCTAGTCTTTGACTGTAGAGGGCGTAATGGGAGTAGTAGGGCGCAGAGGCTGGTAAAGAGTGCATGGGCAAAGACGGGGCTGTGGGCAGGTGCATTTTGCTGTAGGGATGATAGCGTGCCAGCCCAAGGCTAGGGGGTGCTCTTAGGGAGAAGGAGGTGGGGAGAGAGGCTGGGCTGCTCTGGGGCGGTAGGTGGAGGTGGCAGGAGGCAGCGGCTGCAGCAGCAGAAGAGGAAGAGGAGGGGTATGCAGACAGAAGCTTACCATCCACACCTGGTAGCGAGGTATGCGTGCGCAAGTGGGCCAAGAGTTCCTCTGAAGTTGCGAAGCGTTTGTCGCAAGGTCCACTGGCAGAGACCCAGTTGCAGGCATGTGGTAGAGGCTCGTTAGGCAGCATGAAGCCATATGTGTAGAGAGGGTGAGACAGTGAGGGGGTGACACTGGAAGACAGTGAGCTCTGGTGGAGTGAGTGGAGAGGATGGGTGGGATACACCAGTGGGAAGCCACTCTTGAGGGAAGAAGGGTCATGAACACATGTGCTGCAGTTGCTACCACCAAGGTGAGGAGCATTTGGGAAGCTCAAACAGTACGGGTCCCTGCACAAACCTTGCATAAAAGAGGGAGGAGACGCTCCTGTCAGTGGGCTGGAGCTGGGGTGTTTTCCTGCAACCCCTACGCTAGCACCACCAAGGCTAGACTTGGTAGGGTCCAAGCCAGGAACAAACTGACCAGGATACCCTGCATAAGTGCCCACTATAGACCCATGGTAGCCCATACTGGAAGATGGAAGAGGAAAAACAGGGTGACTGCTGGATTTGAAGGGAGAAATAGAAACAGGCCCCAATCCCCCAGGCTGTGTTGGTTGCGTGTCTGCCTTGCCCTCATGACTGGGACTACTGTCCGAGCTGCCACTGCTGGAGTTGGCACTTGCTCTGGCGTGACTTGAGTTGGCCAGCTGGGGACCGTCCAGACTAGCCTTACTTGACTCTGCCTCCTTCTTTAGATTGCTGCTGTTGTCAGAGTTCGCCGACTCTGTGGTTTGCAGCTCCCCATTCGCAGTCTGTGAGTGGCCAGTCGGACGTGCTGTGGTGGGGGACATGCTCGGTCTCTGCGCCTGCGTCTGCGATGGTGAGCCCACTCTAGAGTTTGGAGAAACTGTACGAGGAGGGTGGGATTGACAGCTCTGTGTGCTATTGCTGCCACTACCTCCACCCATTGGAAGACAAAACCCAGGCTTGTTAGTGCTGCTGTTGCTGTTAGTACCATCCCTCTGGCTGTCTGTGCCTATTTTGGAATAGGGCTTGAAGCTGGACTTGTCGTCCAGCGTGGACCGTTGCTCCCCAAGCTTCAGGGTTGAGGACGAGGTACGAGACGAGGGGTCTTTGTCATTGAGTCCACTGGACGTGACTGAGGCCAGCTTGGAGGATGAAGGAGGATCTGGCTTACCTATCTGAGAACAGGTCTGAGCCAGCAGGGCCAGTGGACTCTTCTTAGCATCCAGCTGTAAGAGCAATAGAAATAAAAAAAATAATTTCACATATTAGCTACAAACATTTAAACATGTTCTTAATTTCAACCGTAATCTTATATACTCACATTGACCTGGTGGACAAAATGTTAAACAAATGCACTTACACTTTTAATAAAACCCCCTCAGTAAGATTTTTTGTTGTTGTTGTTTGACTAAAGATTGAATGCCCAATTGCCTCTCCCAGAAACCAAAAAGGCAAAGACAGTGAATAACATAGGAGCTGGGGAACCTAAATCAACAGTGTCTCATTTTTAACAGCATTTCAATACAGGCTAGTGTATTTTTATAACGCAGCTGCTTTGTTCTAAAAGATACAAATACTAAGCAAAAAATATGCAAAAAAATAAGTAGACAAAACTCAAAGCCGTGGTCATATATTTAATGCGTCTATACCTTATAGTTAAAATAATCTACAAGTTATAAGGTATTTTATATATTTAGAATTGGTAATATGGTAACCCATAGTATTAAAGTCTACTGGTTTTCTCCGTGACTTTGACGTCCCCCCATTTTCCCTTCACACGGTTTAGTCTGTTTAGTTTTGCCACAGCCGTTAAAAACAGGATATCCAATCACCATGTAAGTGTATTTTTAATTATATAAACTAAGTTCTATTTTAAAAAGTTGTTGGAATGTGGAAAAGCAGGACCAGCCAGGTATGAACACACCGAGCTCATGGTTAAATGAATAATGTGAGGAAAATGAATAATGCAGCGTACGTCGTGATGGATAAGCTGAATGATTACCTCGATGCTAATCGGGGATGATGTCAGGGGCTGGAGATACTCCGGGTGCAGCAAGTGGCCTGAATGCGCCGTTAACATAGTGAGGATTTTCACGGGGAGCCTTTTCGCCTGACGGAGAGGATCCGAGGGTCTCAGTGAGGTGAAGTTAATGTCAGCGGACGAGCTCTTAATCCCAGAAACCTTTCTGAAAGGAAAGTCGCCGTGTTCTCTGTCGGTGTGTGGAAAACTGTGCACTGTAGCTCCACCGAAAGTATCTTTCATTTGAAGGCGAGACTCAGCCGGGGGGGGGGCTAGCAGGGTCCGGACCGCAGCGTCAGACAGGACACATTTCGTCCTCACAGAACTCGGCGACTGAGCGTTAACGTTAGGTCCATAGCACTGTTCTGAGATAATCCACACCCCACAAATGTCCTTCCAGCCGAGTACAAACGACACTATCAGGGTCGAAGAATTACTCCAAAGCCGCTCATAGCTCCGTTTCGGGCTCCAGTCGTCCTAACCGACACGCAGCAACGGAATAAAAAAACAAAAAAAGTGCCTTTTCTGAGGCGACTCCCGTAGATATCGATACTAAAGCTATTAATGAGGGTTAGCTGAGTGAACAAATCCACGTTAACTTCGACAAAGGCGAAAATTAAACAGCAGAACGGCTCGGACTGAGCTTCACAGCCTCCGCTTCGCCGCTCTCCTGCTCCGTTTCGTCTTGTTATACTTCACGTACGTTGAAAGCGCGAGGAGGACCTTCAAATGCACACGAGCTGCCGTCCAATAGCCGTTGGCTGCATCGGTAATGAGACGACAGGACTTTTTTTCCGCCTGTATTTCGGAAAACCACGCCTCTCTGCACTGGGATTGGCTGGAGTTACATGACGAGCGTGAACAACTAGCCAATCTCTGCGCGAGCGGCGCTTTCTTGCTAGCCAATCGCAGCCTTAGAGAGTCGGGGTTTGTCGGAAAACGGGTTGGAAAGGAACTAAAACGTTAGACCCGATGAAGGCGGGACAAATCTGCGTTCAGGGCGGAGCTTCCCTGCATTCGGGGCGTGGCTTTCTCTCACGATCCGCCTAACAATCCTTTGTCACGTTTCTGCTCATTGTGGCATGAGAATGACAACAACAGCCCTTCAAATGTCACCATATCAGACTTTCTCGGCTCGGTTTGTATTTGCTAACAGAGATCTCAGCTGTCTCACATTCCGCCGTTTTCATAGCAAAGCATTTGTTAATGTGTGGCAGACAGAGGGCGCTTTATTCAGAAAATAATGACCACACAAATCATCTCCGTCCCCACGGAAAAGGGGGTGCATTCTTAAATTAATCTACAAATAAAAAACAACATGTAATGCTAGTAGTTTGTTATATTCCAGATCTACAACTTGGGCCCAAAAAAACAGGACAGAGGACCCATATCCTGACCTGACCTCTAACCAGACAGGCACTTCCCATGCATTTCAGAAATGTTTACATTCAGTGACATATACATGCTAATATGATTTTTATTTATTTCGTTTTCATTAAATATAACAAGGGATGATTTCTGTTCTCCCCTTATTTCAACTCTCAACATTTTTGTTAAAGTAAATTAAATGCAATGTGATAAAGCTCTCTGGAATCAATTGTATGGTAAAGAAAAAAAAAACAGCAACAAAACAAGGAGGGCTCTATAGTTATGTCTATAAATCTGGAATGTTAATAACTTTATTGCATTGCCGCTCCTGACTGACTTGGCAATGAGCTAATTTCGTTAACCTAATTATACAATGAATTGGTTAAAGTGCTTAAAAATGATGCCTGACAAGAGCTATTAGTGGCAGCCCGAAATAGTCTGAGCTGGAGAGGCTTTGAAGCCGAGAATCCTTTAACCATCTCAATGGACTGCGAAATGTGTCCTTATCCTTCATAACCTATGGGCTTATTTCTACAAAGAGGAGCGGATGAATTTTCTCTCTGATCCTGCAGCGGGCTGTAGTCTAGGACAGATAGCTTATTCATCTACAATAACACACTGATTTTGTTTTTTGGCCTTAATTTGTTGTATTATGCTGTTTATTACAGTTTATAGAGATGATGATTGTATATGTTATATATTATATTGTTGTATAATATTATTACTAGAAACCACCACTGTATCTTCTTACCACCATTTTTTTGTCTTGCACTGCTGTTGGAAAGTATTATTTTTGTTTTTAAATGTTTTGAATGAATGTTAATTGCTGTTTCACAGTGTTATTCTGTGTCCCACCCCTGTTTGCGTCAGATCTTACATGGAATCCTTCTGAGGTCAGCTGAGGTCAGCTCTGTGATAAGGAGATTGGGCAAGAGTCCGTCAGGCAGAAAGGTCAGGGGTTACATTGCATTGGAAAGCATGTGTAGTGATGGGTTTACTGTGTCACTGCTTTTCTTAAGATCACACACAGATGGTTAGCGTGGGGTTATAGGTGATTGAATGTGTGGTATTTTTGAAGTTTTGCACAATTATTTTACTGGGTTTCCACCATGCTTGTGTTTTTTTAATAGCCATGTGCTTCTTTTAGCGTTAGTTCTATGAGCTGTAGATAAATATACATAAACACAAAGAAGCACATTATTCTTGCATATATCTACCAAGTATGACGTTTATAATGTCTATGTCTACCAAACCAATTGACTCCTTGTCCTCTGACATGTTTGCTCTAAACTGGGCCCAAACTTTTGTCTTGGGAAGCCAAAGGTTACTGTTTGTGGTTGACTAAAGGCTAAAAAACAAAACAAAATGCAAATAAAGAGGGTAGGTAGGTTTCAATTTAAGTTTATTTGACAATACACAGTATTTTGTTACTAAAATAATTAAAATGGCTTAATATTTCTAATGAAAATAAGACACTTAAACCTCAAATTTATGCTAAAAAAGGTCCTGTAGTCAAGTAAGCTAATTATGGTGTTCAACATTGGATCCTCATTCCCAACACTTGACACCTGACCATTTTTGTTGTATTGACCAATGGATGCAGAAGGCCCATTATCCCAGACCAAGACTTCATTGGCATGGTAGTGTTCTTGTCTATCTCAGCAGTGGGAATGAACGGATGTTACCAGAGGATGACCTCTCCATGGGGTCATGACCCCATGAACTACTTTATCAGCCACAGCGATTCCCTAATATAAGCAGAAAGAATGCTGATCCCACTATTTCTGAATGTGTCCATCTTTCTTCCACACCTTCCAACCTTCTCTTTATCTCTCTTAAGATTTGATCCGTTTGTAGAACTTGTTACTGAAACGGCAAACAATCAGGTTGGTTTTCAGAGCTATTCAGATGAGAGAAGCCATCGGTGTCGACTTGAAAAGCTTGAGAAACAAGCAGCGAGGAGGAGATCAGGGTGAGAGGAAGACAGAGAGAGGGAATAAAAAGACAGCAGGAGGGAGGAGAGCAGAATAGCCAGAGAGAGAAAGGGAGTGAGAGGGGGTGTGACGTGAACAATAGGGGATCGCTATGGGACGTTTCATGGGTCGCCTTGAAGTTGCTCGTCAACAGATGTGTCACCATGTTAATGACTGATTGCTGTTTCCTGTTGTTGATGATTGTCAAGCAGGTTCCCCTTTGTGAGGCCAATAAATCTTGTGGACGGATAAATGGAGGCGATGGCCATTATATCCACACAGAAGCACTTTATTTAATGATGCAGATATGGAAATGAAGTGCAAATAACTTCAATTTACGTAGTACTACAGCTCTCAACAAAGGTTTTAGGGCCTATTTTTTCAGCCAAACTGAAAGTAGGCCTTGCGATAGTAAATCTTTCACTAACTCATAACAGTACACAGAGATAAGTTGTTTTATTTGCTCTTAAAAATGTCAGAAAGTAACTCGATTGCCAAATGCTAGCATAAATCAGAGTTACTTAGAAACAGTGCATTCTATTGTGAACATTTTCCATTATATTCATACAAACAAAATGTAATTGGCTGGGGACTTTCCTCAAATGGCATCAACAGTTCATACAAAACTGCTACAACTGTTTCTCATATAATCTAATGAAGGTACTTCATTTAATAAAGTTTGCCATAATTATGTTAAATACGCAAAACCATGTTTTCAGTCTCTGCCATCATTTAACAGAGGGTTACACAAAAGATGTTTTTGTAAAGGGAAACACTCACATACACACACACGTAGATGAGCTATGTTGATGGCCTTTGAAGTCGTGATTATTTACATATTCCCACACCTACCTAAGCTTTATCTCTGGGTGGTGTCACTCAGATGGAGCAAGTATTAGACTTATCTGCTCTTAGCCCCACAGCTCAGTCTCCACTTCTGTCAACCTTCCCTCCATTCCTTCATCTATCATCTCTACCATCACATTCACACTTAAATATTTAAAATCAGAGCCGCTCAAGATGTCTCCGGCTTCTCCTTCACACTTACAGTGACTTACAGACCGTGTGACATATATAAACACGCATACACAGAGCGGTACCCAGAAAAAAAATGGAGCTACACTCTTAAAGGGCCCATAATTTGAAAAGCAGAAATTTTATAGATTGCGTAAAATAGATTTTATGTAGTTTGTAAACATAATTAATGTTCACTACCCCCTCACCCATGGAAAATAAGGCAGAAAAACAATCAGTTTTAAATAGACTTTTTGTGATGTCACAAAAACCAACACATTTATACATCTTCACTTATTCATTAAGTTATAAGGGGGTATTTCAGGGTTGTTTTAAGCTGGACTGCTTTTTGAACAAGGCACAACAAAGAGCAGCCAATCAGAACAGATGCGATTTGCATATAACACTCTTAAAGGCACAGTAACAAAAACAGTTTATTTAATTCTAAGCAATGAAGACAGATTGTAAAAATGATATGTTAAAATTAATTATGACTGTTTTGGGACATAAAGCTACACAATGGCATGAGTGGACATTAGGAAAAAAATAAAGGAAAATTTTAGGATATAGGTTTGTTAAATATGAAAATGCCAAAAATGTTCTTTGATGCCATAGAAGAACCAGTATTTATTCTCTTGAGAACTTTTAAGCTGAGTGCTCTCAACTGTTTTTTTAAAAGAACCATTCATAGAAAGGTTTTTTAGGGAACCAATAGTAGTTCCTCTATGGTACTGCTCCAGGGACACTTTTAACCCCTTTATTTTAAGAAGGGAAAGGGCACACTTTTGGCTTCCTAACTTTTAGCTTAGTAAACACACAAATGCACCCATATGGAAAGGAAATGTTTTAAAAGTGTATTTCTCAAACACATTTGAAAATGTATGAAAATGGCCACAAATGTGTTTTTTCTTAATGTATTTTTATGTTTGAAATACATCTTGGAATGAAACAATATATTCAAGATATATTTCACATATAAAAAATAGATGCCCATGTATTTCTTGGGCTTACTCACACGTATGCACGCACATACACATATACACACACAAAGGCGAGCATTGTGCTCCTCATGTAGAAGATATCAGCAAGAGTGGGTGGGGAATGTATTTAGTCGGGACAAGCCAGCCATCAGGGCCAAAATCTGATTGCTGAGCACTGTTGTGTGAAATTTCATCTGACATCAAAGGTGTTTATCTACCCAGCCTGTAGCCACTACTGATGGAGCCACTACTGTCACCCGCAGAACGCTTAGCTTAGCTTCACTACTGCACGTCCTACTAAACACAGCCTGTATCTCAGGGGCCACCGTTGCCGCGCTGTTGACAGAACTGGTTATCTCTTTATCTCTTTCATAGCGAGAACTTAGGTATGTGTGTCACTGATGTTGATTTCAGCA